ATTCTGCCTTCTTTGTCAAACGCGGCATGTTAGCCGCCCAGAGTCATCCGCAGACCCCCCTACCAGTTCCCAAGCTCGTTCGAGGGGGAGTAGCGTGGCACTGGGAGCGGGGTTTCCGTTGGCCGGGCCTCAAGCCCCGAAGGGCCGTGATCGGGCGGAAGGCCTAGCCCGGAGGGCCCCAAGCTGCGGACAATGAGCAGAACATGAGCAAAACACGCGCATACATTTTGTGCCGCGCCATCCCTGCTATGGGGCGAAGGGTTTGTGGACTTGTTTCTGCGATGTTTGCCGATTTCTTAAATCCCCCCCCAACGCAAAACCAAAATAAGAAATCACATGTTTTGTTTGAGGGGGGGCCGGTGCTGGACAGCATCCCCGTCTTAAGTGATGCAGATAATGCAGGGCAAGCGGGCGATGCAAACAAACAGGTTGTGGAAAGGAAAGAAGGGGAAGAAAATGAAGGGAAACGTTGGGCAAAAAGGACAACAAATGGAAGGGGAAATGAAGAGAAATGAAGGGAACTGTGGAAGAACGCGGGAAAATGAGCGGAACTGAAGGTAATGAAGGACATGAATGGAAATGAATGAAAATGACCGGAAATGAAGGAAAATTGCGGGAAATGAAGGGAACTCAAGGGAAACGAGATGAAGGGAAATGCAGGGACATGAAGGGACATGAAGGGAACCGAAGGGAGACGAAGGGAACCGAAGGGAATTGAAGGGACGTGGAGGGAAATGAATGGAGATGAGGGGAAGTGAAAGGAACTGAAACCCAAGGGAAATGTAGAAAAAACATGACATGATGGAGATGCAAGGAATGAGGCCTTCAAGGAAATGAAGGGAACTGACAGGAGATGATAGGCAAAGCGAGAAATGAAGACAAATGAACATAATGAAGAGAAAGAGAGACATGAGCAAGGAAAATGTAAGGACATGTCGAATCGCTCCCACTTGGTCCGGCTTGCTTGCGGAACGGATTGTGGGTCTGCAGGCTCGCTTTCATGATGCGGGTGATGCTGAAACACTGCAAAAAAGCCAGGCTTTCCACACAGAACACTGTAAACACGTACGGCTTTGACGAGGCAGATCCAAGCTGCTTCGGCAGCTGGCCCTGGCCCGCCCCGCAGCAAAACCGCGGCAAACTTGGCTGAAGCCTGCGTGCCAAGCTTTGGTGCGCTGCGGCCACCCTATTCTTGCGCAAAAGCATGCTACGCAGCGCTGCCACGTAAGATGCGCAGAGCCGCTTGCGCGGAGCTGCGCCGCGCGGATCAGCCTGAGACGGGCCCGCTTGCAAAGGCACTGCCTGCTTGGCTTCAATCACTCGCGGAGCAAGAGCCAGGATATGAAGTTCGGCGTCGCTGTGCTGCCGCGGCCGGTTGCGCGTCAGCGCGTAAATAGAAGGATGCAGCAAAGTGTTAACAGTACAAGGTGCTTGCACTTCAGGAAGCTGAGGCGAAAAGCATTCTGTGTGGGGCCAGGGGACATCAAGCTCAACTTTAGGCTTGGGAGCTTTCTTGCACAAACATCCCCAATTCGGGCTGGTCTGCGGAGGGGTCTTGAGGTGTTGTAGGTCGGTCCAGGAGAGAATCGCGCGTTTCTGTAGGTGAGGGCTAAGACCATTGCTTGAGCAGCTTGGCTTCGGCCCTTGGTTAAGCTTGAAATCCAGGGTTAAGGGCGGGCACATCTCAATTTAGGCGGTTCAGCAAACCACACACTCAGGTGCATCATAGACATGGCGGAAGCAGCATGCGAGTCTCAAGTTGCCAGCGAGCAGCGCCGCCAAAACGACCAGACCTCGCTCGAGACAAGGCCAAAAAAATATGCGCCGAGTTCGCTCAAGCGACGTGAATCAAAGCTCACTTCAGGTCTGGAACCAACCAATGGCCAAGCCCTTGCAAGCAACTCCAAATCCGCCCAAATCTTCCTACTAAACACCGAACAAACTGGATGTGACTTGGAGAAACAAGTGGCCACTCCGGTGTTCGAGAATTCAAGATGCACTGTTGCCCTTCCAAAGGCTTGTTTGTCTCCCCACCGAACCCGGGCGGCAAGAATCTCATTTGGAAAATAGACCACGTTGACATACCTTGTTTGCTGATGGCATTCCAATGATCGCAAGAACGAGATCTGCCACGCAGCGCCTGCACCAGTGGCAGGCGCGGAAGACTTCTCCGCGGCTTTCTCTGTGGTGGTAGTTGTGTACCTTGGCTTCCCATTGTTCCGGGACGGAACTTTTGATGACCGCAGAGATGCTTCCCAAGGCCACGTGCGCGGAACAAAATGCTCAGCATCAGTCAGTGGCATGGTTCGTTTGTTTGTTTGTTTGTGTGTTTGTGTGTGTGGTTGTGTCTGTGTGTGTGGTGTGGGATGGCGATGTCAGATGGATGGCGATGCCAGAGATGTGGAAGTTGGCGAAGTGTGGGCAAAAGCAGACTGAGTTACCTAGAGCCTTATCTTACTTTTCTGCATTAACCGTGCAAACCGGCAGGTTTTGGAAGGTTATGAGTAACCGCCACTAACCGGAGAAAGGTTTTCAACAGGTTTCAGAAACCGAACCGAACCGAACCTAACCGTGGCCACCCTGGCTTGTGCATTTCGTATCGCCAGCAAGGGCAGTCGACACCCTTGAGCCAGGCCAGGATCACTTGTGTCAAACCAACTCAATTCTTCCAGTCGGCTTGCAAAGGAATCAGAACCGGCCCAAAAGATGTCTAGACTAGGAAAAGTATCTCAAAGGTTTTGTGAGTACAGGACATCAGGAGCAGCATGTTTGTGCACGCTCATCCTCCCGGTTGTAGCGTGCAACCCCAACCAAAAGAATGGACCCCTTGAAAGATTCATCAAGAGTGGATGCGCACACACAAGCAAACAATGAGCTAATCCAAAGGCTTGGCCTAGCTAGGACGAGAATGGCTCCACGTAAACAAGTGGGAGCCTCGCAAGTCACATCCAACAAGCCCTTCGCAAGGGAAAGGCTTTGCAAAGCTTTGCAAAGTATAGCTCTTGCGCTGAGCTGCCGCTGGTCAGGCTGGCAAAGATAGCGATGGCTATGATAGATGCAGTTCAAATCCTGAGAAAATCGATCGCTGGCAGCACATTCATCATTTCGGGGTTGCTTCTGCGGCTTGCTTCCAGGATTCGTTGAAGTGAAGCAACCCACCTTCCTTGAACACAATCCCGAGGAAACAGTTCGCAGTGTAGTCACCTGATTCACTTCGGGTGAGAAACTTGAAGTTCGGCTTCGATGACCTGCCATGCCAAGATGCCGTTCGGCTCTGTATAGGGCTTGTCACTCAGCCACCACCTACAGCAAAAGGAGCTACGCGGACTGACTCACATGCAGCTTCAGCTGCGCCGAGCGCGGCACGGGCTTCCATCAAGGGTTTTCCACATCTTCTGACCTTCGATGCGCGCAATCTAACTGCACACGCATCGTCTGCGTGCTGATGGGGCAAAGCGCACTTCTCAGTCATTTACTCAAAATTCACACCCTCTGTGGTCCAATCAGACCCTGCAAAAAAAAAGGAAAACCAAAAAACCACACACACACACACACACAAACACCCCACCCCACCCCACCCCACCCCACCCCACCCCACCCCACCCCACCCCACCCCACCCCACCCCACCCCACCCCACCCCACCCCACCCCACCCCACCCCACCCCACCCCACCCACGCACCCACACACCCACGCCCCCACGCGCACGCACGCACGCACGCACGCACGCACGCACGCACAACCCACGTTTTATCCCAAAAAGGAAGCTACGCCAACTTCTGAGCTTCTCATATGATCAGGGGCCGGATTGGTTGGGCGCTGTTCAAGGCTTGCGGGAAAGATTTGTATCTGGGTTGTTGGATTCTGGGGTAATTATATAGTCAAGCAGCAAATCAGGAAGCTAGCAGGGGGGCAGCCAGTTCAAGCCTATAATCAAAACGAAACCCGTGCTCAAGTGTTCATACTCCCTTCTAAACCTATACATAATCATTTGCCGAAACTAGTCAGAAATCAACAGCCACAAAATTGTGATCGACGTTTGCCGTTTCAAGTCGTATTCGGAAATCAGTGTCTTGCACCATTCTCGGGCTCGGAAGATTTGGCTAAAGATCCATAAGAAGTTCCACTTTCCAAACGTGGAACCCCGTCATGATGGACGTTGTTTTCGGAAATGTTGCTTTTGACTGTATTGGAATAAAATAGAGCGCGAAAGGTGTTTCACATCATGAGGTGAGGAACGGCATAACAAATGAACTATGCATCCAAGGCGGCCGTCTTCATCAGAATTCATCGCCTTCTTTACGCAGCCTCCGCAGCCGTTCGCGGCTTGGGTGACGTCAACAAGCCTTAGGTTGGGTTGCCATGCGGCACAGAGCTTCCAGAATCTAAACATGTCTTGGCCGAGGATCACATGCGGCGCCGCAACTTCTTTGAAGACGCCAAGCTCCGTCAAAGTCTTCCAGTCCGCCTTGCTGGCCACATGGGCACTATGGAAAACGTGCGATGGAATCAATTGGAATATCTCGCAGCTCCGCCAAAACTCGGTGGCAAGCAAAGGGGCCTTGCTCGTCGGTGAGATGATCTTCCAGTCCTTTGGGCAGTCGTTCGGCTGATCTGCCTTTTTGACGTCCTTGCAGTTCCCAAGGCACTTCCTCAGCAAGTGTAAAAAAAACAACCTATTTCAAGAGGGACGAGAAAAGCGCGCCAAGCAATTGATTGAGTCTTGTGCAATGCTGGGCCTACTGAAGTTCGCTGGTTTATTTCCGGCCCGTCACTTGCTATCAGCGCGAATCCACGTCGGCCGGAACCAGCGCCAGGCCTTGAGGCCTCTACGCTCTCGCACCCACAGGCCATGGATCGTATGTCTAGGCGTCCCTCAAAGAAACATGCAAACAACAAAATGTGTTTCAAAAACAACAACCCCCTTCTGTAATTCTAAGGGCCACTCCCCAAAAGAGAACTGCAAGAATGGGTTGGAAAGAATTCCGAGACGTGCGGCTGTGCCGCTTTGCCTGGAAACAGGCCAACGCATCTACGGTACATGCCAGGCTGTAGCACTGAAGCACGCGCCAGCTTCCAGCCCTGCACAAGCTCCTGAAATTTCCCGGCCCTTGACGAGCGAGAGCTAGGAAATGATAAGAAAAGAGACTGAAGAAATAGGCCGGCTTCTTTCTTGGGAATTGCTAGCTAGAAGCCAGAGAGGATGAAGGTTGGCAAACGAGGGAAGGGCCATCACTCACCGCCTGCTGGCCTCACCCTACATCCCTTTCACTTGTCTTCCAAACTTTTACCTGTTATTAAATGAAAGCCAGAATGCGAGCGGCAGATAAACATAAGGGTTCATTGTCCAACAAAAGCAAGTCTTATCTATAGTTGGCTTGGAGAGTGAAGGTGTGGGATATGAATGGCGTTCCATCTCTTTTTACCCGGCAAGAGAAGCCAGCCTTGGTCATCATCATGGCATCTCTGATTCATTCCATCTGCGACATCAGTTTTATCTGGAGACGAGAATGCTGTTCGTCATCCCGTGGCCCGCCCCTTTCTCACTAAAGTTGGGACGGGGACGACTTACAGCTCAAAGCGAGACCGAGTCTGTCGAGGGGCTTGAGCGCTCCAGGAACCCACTTCTTGCCTTTCAGGTCAACGTCACTGCCTTGGTGCAAAGGGTGAGGCAGAGAATCAGTCAAGCACCGCTGCCTTTTGCCAGCACAAGACAATGCATCCCACCCAGTGGCATGTGCAGCTGCGGGTTTCGTGCTCATAAGCGGAATCTTCTGCGAGTTCAGATGTATTTTCCTGCACGTTGGTCACGAAATCACTCCCGAAGTCTCAACACATCCACAATGCGAAGCTCCCCACTCACAACAGGTTGATTTGCAAGAGTGGCCCTTGTTGAAAAAGGACTCAAATCCTTCCAGCTGTCTGGTCGGCTCTCTTTAGCATCGACCCTATGTCCGAAACACGGCCTGGCTAAACAATCTCTCCTTGCGCATGAGCTTCACCTGTGTGTCGCCTTCCTTGGCATTGCTGGGATCGCGCAATGCGTGAAAGACTTCTGTCTGTTTGCAAAGCAACGCCGCAGACTCCCCTCGTAATCTCCCTCCCTCCATCTCCTTCAAAAGCGAAATGATCGGTCGGTTGGACTGGGGCTACGCCAAATGCAGCCCTCCTGCTATCTGCAACCAAGCAGTGCCAAGCTTCTGCCAGTACCGTTGCCTGAACCATCCCGTGCTTCTCTGGGCGCGAAGTGTTGATCCCTTCCGCCACCAGCACCAATACACATGCAAAGAGGGATATGACCTCAGCGCACTGTTCCTTATAGATCACACAAGGACATCATGCCCTTGTCTGTGCGTGCGCACGATAGCATCACCAGCCTAGGGCCACAAAAGCGATTGCACCCTGCATGCCCCCCCCCCCCGTCCCGGTTTGGCTGAATGGGAAGGGCTCTGCATCGATGTGGCCTTGAAATTTATGCAAGTTGGCCCCGAACCCCTGCGGCTGTGCTTCGGAGTCAGAGTGCCACAGGAGTGCCCCAGCATGCCAGCCAAGCTGCAGAGAACATTATGAAAGCTCGCGCCGACTTCCTTGGTTGTCGGCTATCGGCTACTGGCAAGTACGACCAAAGGAACAGCTGATTTTACCAAGCCCCGCGTTCCCAAGGCAGCCTGCACGCCCCCGAATCACAACACGTCACCCTGCGCCCTCTGTGCAACCCAAAGGCGGGTAGAGAATCGGCTTCTGCCTGGACCATAGATCGCTTGAGCCGAAAGCAGCACAATCAACCAAATCAGCCTCCCAGAATCAGCCTCAGCAAGGCTTGCTCAAGGCTTGTTTGCTGACGACGCCGAGGTCGCCAGGTATGAACCACTCCCACACAATCTGTGTTTTCATGACATGAGCTCGTTGGCCGCCACTAGCCGAGAGTACAATCGAACACTTGCTTGCCAAGAGCTGAAAAGCAAAAACAAGAGCCGTTGTGTGTGTGTGATTCACTGGCCATTTAACCCTTAAAATTTCGAGCAATCTGTTTCGTGACCGGTTTGTTTGGTCCACTCCGCTTCGGCGTGCCGAGAAATCCAGAGACATCCCTCCAAGATGCCCTTGCTGAAGTTGGGCGTGTAGCCCTCCGGAGTCGCCAGCCGCGCCGACAGAGGCCAAGCCCTGCACGCTTTGAGAAGCTGTGGCTCAATGAGCCGGCTGCCACTGCGCAACACGTTGATTTGAAAAGCCACACGTGGAAAGTTGTCCAAACTATCAAACATGATCCTCACATCTGTTAATCCCTGCCTCTGCTTTGCAAGGGTAGTCAGCCTCATCATGAAGTGGTTGCCTTGCAGCGTCAGAACACGAAGCACAAACACCTGGGTGCAAATTGGGGCATCGTTAGCCAATGGCTCAGCGTTCCATGGCTTCCAGCCATGGAACAAATATCAGACTGTCACACCAAGCCAAGGCCATAAATGCCACTAGCTGCGCAAGTCAGAGAGGTCTGAGCGTTGGACAAAGCACCTTTACCTGCTCTCGAACTGGCAGCACGTGAGGGCCAAGTTGAACCTTAGTGCTTCTCTCACAAGCTTTCCTTCAAAAGCGGCCAGGTAAGTGGAGAAAAACAAATGCATGCCAGGTTGCAATTCCCTTACTGGACCTATGCGGATCCTCTTGGGATCTGAGCACTCACATCTAGGATCACAACTGGCACCCTTTGGCCTCACTCAAACCCCCCCCGACCCCCGAATGTGTGACATGGCGCAAAGTTCTGGCGCAAGGCGCGGCCCGCAACCTTCACAATGTCCTGGTGGAAACGTCTTGGCCGCCGCTCTGGATGTGGAAACCCAAAAAGATGCGGGGAGGTGGGGGGTTCTGTCTGGTTGCCCTCTTCCGCAACCCCCAAAAGAGCAGCCTCCAGAGTTGACAGCTCACTAAGCTCCAGAACCCTCTCGCGCGTTGTAGGACCAGGGATCAAGCACCAGCTTCACGCTCAGCACAAGCTCACAGAGTGAGCAGCAGCTTCTGTTCTTCTTACGTGGGTTTGGAGCATGTGGTTGCCTTGCCCGGCTGTTGTGCAGAAGGCTTTTTGGGCTGCATCAGCGCTTGGTAGGGGCGGGTCTCGGGTGTTTGGGTCCGGTTGCCTAGGCTTGGTCGGCATTGTGCTGCTTTTGAGGCGAGGTTCTGGGGTGGGTTCAGGAAATGTTCTGGCAGGTTTCGGGTTTAAAACCTGGTGTAACCAGACCAAACAAGAAAACATATGTCTCTTTCTCTCTCTCTCTGTCGTTAAAATCGGTGGTTACTTTGCTTTCAAGTGCAAGTGCTGTAGTGTTCAAACAAACAGTCAACCGATTGTAGTCTGCAGCAATCCACCTTTTACACATGCGACGTAGTGAGCTCAAGGCCTGCAGTACATGAAACACAAATGCAGGAAGTGAAGCATGTAGTTTGACACGGCCCCTCAATTAAAAGGTCTTTGTAGTACCTTTTCAACTGAAGTGCAAAACATGGATTGACAGTAGTGATGAAAGCCATTGTTGTTCATCAATTCTACTGTAGTGACAAAAGTAGTAACCTGCACTCGGTAGTTCTCGCTGTTCAGGTTCCAGCTCGATGTAGTGCGCTGGACGGAAGTAGTGAGGCAGGCACTTGTTGTTGTAGTAGAGCATGTGCTCAAAGATGTAGCCCCCAGTTCTGGGTGCGGTAGTCTTGGACCTTCTGTAGTCGACTGTCCAAGGTCGCAAAGTAGTGCGTTGTGAAAAAGGTTGTCATGTAGTTTGGTGCTCCTCGTAGTCGCTCATCGTCGATTTCGGGACATGACATGTGCTGGTTGTAGTCCCTGAGGAAGCGGTGTAGTAGTGCCTTGTGGTGTTGTGTGAGGTTTGTCACGGTGAGTAGTGTAAATCCGTAGTACTGGATACTCTTGCAGAGAATTGTAGTGATTGCCTTGTGTTGGTAGTCGTGGAGTTGGTCTCTGTTGTAGAGGTAGTGGAGTAGTTCAGGTAGTAGTAGTGGCATGTGGTAGTTCCAAAGATAGTTGTTCCTGAGGCTGTAGTTGTCGGTGAAGATGGTCACGTTGTAGTTCACCTTGTGGATGGTCTGTGGCAGTGGTGTAGTTGGGAGGTAGTAGTTCTGTTGTACCGACATCATGTAGGAAATGTAGTCTCTGGTGAAGTGGATAAATTGTCCTGAAGTGAGGTACCTCAGGAGTAGCGGTTGTTCAATCTGCAGTTGGGTGATGACGTAGTTGTTGTTGTCGCCGGTTGTAGTGTGAAGGGAAGTCGTATGGTAGTAGTGCACGTTGGCTGCTTCAGGTAGTGAAACGCTGAGCAGGGTGGAGTTGTAGTGGGGCATCCGAAGGTCTCCAGGGATGCAGTAGATGGGCTGTGTGTAGTCCAGTTGTGCAAGTGGAGTTGCTTGTTGATGTGAAAGTAGTTGATACTCTTCGAGTGTGAGTGCAGTGAGAAACTGTGTGTAGGGTGCGTTGTCGGGCAGTGGTGGTGTAGTGGTTGTCTGGTGCTCAGTGATGTGTAGTTGGTCCATCACTGTGGTCGGGTTGTAGTAGACTGTGTTGCCAAGTGTAGGATGGTTGAAGTGGTAGTTGGAGTCGTTGTAGGTTTGAGGTGGTAGAGTTCCATGGTCACTGGAGTCCGTAGTGACAGCCACCTCCGGTGTAGACGCTCTGTCGGGTGTAGTCGCATCTCCCATCGTAGCATCTGCAGTAGATGGAGCGGCCATGGCTGCAGTGGAGTGCGAATGTAATGAAACGGGGCAAAAAACAAAATGAGCCTGAGTAGTTGCTATCAGGCAGGCGGCGCATGCAGACATGTAAAACAAACAACTGTAGTGTTGACTCAGCCGCCAAAAGTGCAAGTGCAAATACGTGTAGTTACTGTTACTTACATACCAAAGGTGTCGTGTTACATGTAGCTACTTACATACATGAAATGTCCAAGGTCGTTGTTGTTGTTGTTGTTGTGAAACTGCTGTGCTGGTCGTTCGTAGTGCTACGTGCGTATTCCAATGCTCTGGATGAGCCTGTGTAGTGTTTCTTTGCTGATGTATTTGGTAAACAAATCTGCGCTGTTGTGGAGTGTGTTGATCTTAAGGATTCTGATGATGTCATGCTTGATGAGGTCTTGTGTGTAGAGAAATTTAAGGTCGATGTGTTTTGCTCGTTTGCTAGTGCCTTGTCGTGCAGCAATGCTCTTGCCTGCTGTGGAGTCTGTGTAGATGCGTAGGTTTAGCTTGCTGCAAATGTTGGTTTCAAGTAGAAAGTTTCTGAGGTGTAGTCCCTCATTCACTCCTGTGCAAATGGCGTAGAGTTCAGACTCTGCTGAGCTGAGTGCTATTGTAGCTTGTGTTCTGCTGCCAAATGCAACTGTTGTTCCTAAAAAGATGATGTTGGAACCTGAAGTTGATTTCCTGGTAGTAGGGCATCCTGCCCAGTCAGCATCGACATGAACGTCGAGATCCAGGATGTTGTTGGTGTTTGCTCTGGGTGTTGTTGTTGGTTCTATGGTGAATTTGTAGTGCCTGGTGCCGTGCAAGTAGCGTAGTAGATGTTTGACTCTCTTTTGTGAAAGTTCTGTAGGTGCTGTGAGGTCTCGTGCTAGTTCTTTTGTGGAGTATGCAATGTCTGGTCGTGTGTATGCTAACCATTGAAGTTTGCCAACAATCCTTCTGTACCTTTTGTGTTGTTCGTGGTCAAGTAGTGCTTCATCTTCTATTGTTGGTTTGTAGTGTGCGCTTCCTGGAGTGTTCACGGAGTTGCAGTTGTTCATTCCAGGCTCCTCGATCATGTTGTCGATGTAGGAGTCCTTTAGTCCAAGATTGCAGTAGTTGCCAAAGCGGTCGACGTTTCTTCCAAGAAATTGCTGTGGTTTGCCAGGTTCGAGGTAGCCGATGTGCTTGAGTAGTACCTGCTTCTGGATGGCCTCGAAGGTGGAGTCGACAGTAGTCTTGTCACCAAGTACCAAGAGGTCATCCACGTAGACCATGATGTAGCAGTCGCGGGTCGCATTGGTGTAGACGTTAGGTTCTGACTTTAGTCTTACAAAGCTGAGCTTCTGTAACACTTCAGCCAGGTAGTCCTGCCATGCTTTTGGTGAACTGCGTAGTCCATACATGGCTTTCTTTAGTCGCCAGATTTTGTCCTGTTGTGGACAAAGTTCTTTAGGTGGCCAAAGGTAGACGTCACGTTGTTTACCGTCGTGGTCTTTTGCGATGGGTGCGTGTAGAAATGCTGTAGAGACGTCACCTAGTCGCGCGATCCAGTTTGGTCGTGACATTTGTAGTGCGAGAAGTGTCCGGAGTGTCGTGAACATTGGTGTAGAGGCGTAGACGGAGTCTTCGTCCTCGATCCTCTCTGTGTAGCCTTTTGCGACGATTCGGCTTCGTACTCCTGGTCCTTTCTTTCTGTGTACCCATCTTGTAGGTATCGCTTCTCTGATGACGTTGTCGTCGACGGTAGACGCATCTAGACGTCATGTAGCTTCATTTGGTTTGACTCGTGTTTCATTCCTTCCAGTAGCTGTGTTTCGTCGTAACCTTCGTTGTCGAAGATTATGGGTTGGTCTTATCTGAGGTGTCGTCGTTTGTGTAGGGGGTGATGGATTTTCCGTTGGGAAGTGTCACTGCGTTGATTTTCTGTCGTAGTGGTGGTGGTTCTTTGGTTGCTTGCTCCGTTGATCTGATTGTAGTGTCCTTTGAGGCCTTCTGTGCTTTAGTTGGTTGCATTACTTCTTCCGGAGCTAAACGTCGTAGTGTTTGTCGAGGTGGTGCTGGTAGTGGTGGATGTTGTCGTCCGGTTGGTGAAGTAGCCATAGGACTATCCGGTAGTGGTCGTGCACTTGACGTCGATGTGGACGGAAGTCGTGGAGGTGGTGTAGTGCGTTGTTGTTTTGTTGCGGGTTCCGCAACGATGTCGTCCGTAGCGTTCGTCTGTTGTCCGAAATCTTGCGTGGACCTTCTTTTCTCTGACGGTTGTAGCTGCGTATCCAACAGTGTTGCGAACGATGGGTTGTAGGTGTTCCGTCGTGGTGCCCATGGTGTGCCGGAAACTTTGTTCAACAGTGCGAGGTCGTATTTGAAGTCCGGTTGTAGTCTCCGTACTGTTCGTACCTTTTGTACGCCTGATTCCGTTGCGACGTAGTTTTCTCCGGTTTCGGAAACTTTTCCGAGCCAGATGCATTTCTGCATCCGTAGGTCTGCTTTTGGAAGTTTCTTGTGTTGTGGTGGAAGGTAAAGTAGTGTCTCGCCAAATTCGCAGATTGCTCGCTCGTAGTTTCTTCCCCAGCGGCGTTCAAAGCTTGTGTAGCCGTCTGAGTGAATGACGTAGCGATTTACCGTCCATGCTGCATGTCGTACTATCCAAGGTAGTAGACAGTGCTTTGTGGACATCGTCATGCTGTAGTTGCTTTCAACCTGAGCTTTGACGACGCGGATTTGTCCGAGAAGTGTTCTATGTAGTCGCTCAACGCTTCCTTGACTGTTGCTGCTGTAGGATGGTGAATGTCGTACAGTCATTGAGCCGACTTTAGATGCTGTTGCTTTTAGTAGTGCATTGAGTGTGTCTTCGTTGTCGCTTTGTAGTATGCCTTGTGTTCTTCCGCATTCAAAGATGAATGCTTGTAGGTTGTTGATCATGTAGTCCATCATTGATGGTTTGTCCGGAACCAATACCGCCATGCACAGTTGTGTAGTAACATCAACTGCTGTTAAGACTGGTATGGTCTTCGGATCTTGTTGTGATTTGATGTAGGCAAAATCCACTTGGATGATGGGTTGTCGTGATTGTTGTTTCTTGTAGTTGTCCTGGCGTCCTTTGCCTTGAACGCAAATTTGACACAAATTTCTGTATGGTAGGTGTGTCAAGTTGTGTTCTGCTATTTGTTGTGGAGTGGGCTGCTGCGGTTGTCGTAGTCCTCTTGCTCTGTGCTTCATGATGCTCGTGTTGTTGTTCCTCATCGTGATCCTCCTGGATGTACTCGCAGTCTTTCTTCACGGTGAACCTTGTTGTTCCTTTCCATTGACATGGTAGTGTTGCGTTGCCCATGACTGTCCCGTCATCTTTGCGTTGCGAAACTTCTCCAAAGTTGTTGTGAGTGATTGTAGTTCTGTGAGGCTCAAGTGTGCTGATTGGTGGATGTCCTGGTCCAACAGTTGGAGTGAATAGAGTTGTTCTAAGAGTTGTGTGGTGTCTTATCCAGTATTCACCTTGTCTTTCCCAGTAGTCTTGGTTGTCCTCCTGTGCTGTGAGTGGTCTGTGGATTGTCTCCTTTGGTTGTGTGGTGTCAAGATTTGTAGAAGGTGCTGCTTTAGGTCTCCATATCTTTTGTGGCGCTCGTAGTTGGATCTTTGATCTGGTTGGTGGTGTGTCCATTAGCCGTTGTGGTTGTGAGCTCTGCCTTGTTGGTGTGGTCTTTGATGTTGCTCTGCGTGTAGGTGTTATCTTTCTTCTGAATCTGGTTTCTCCAGTCCAGTTGTCACCTTCTAGTCTTCGTTGTAGTTCTTGCTTGGAAAGTTGTGTTGGGTTCTCTTGTAGTTGTTCTTGCTCTTGCCCTTGTCTGTTGATGATGGTTAGTCGCCAATCATCTAGTTCTCCTTCAGGTATTGGGCAACCGCTGTTGTGTGGTGTGAATAATGCTTTGCGTGGTCGTTTGTGTACTCTGACGGCGTAGTCACCATCAAGTTTCCAGTAGTCAGTGTTTCCACCAAGGATCTGTCGTAGTCCTTGGTCTGTGTGGGTGAGTGGTGCAATTTGTTCTTGTTGTTGTACTGTTTTCTCCGTAGGTTGAATCACAGCAATGGATTTTCCATTGTCTGTAGTCATTGGGTAGATGTCGAATCCTGTAGGGATGTCGATCTTCTCTGCTCGTAGGTAGAAAAGTCCTGAGTGTCTTATAAGGTGTGCTTGTTGTTGTCCCTGTGTGATGGTGCAGTGTCGTGGAGTGAAGTCAAGTCCATATCCTCTATCAAGTAGTCTTGATGCACTGAGGATTGGATACTTCACATCTCAAACGTAGTAGGGTATCATGATCCTGAAGTTGTCCTGCTTGTAGGGAACGTACTTGATGCCGTAGACAGGAATCTTCTTGTTTGTAACCGTGTAGAGTTGTGGAACTGATTCTCCACAAGGTCGTAGCGGTAGGTCTGGTGCGTAGTCCTTCGGGCAAACATGTGTAGATGCTCCTGAGTCGATCAACAGGTGGTGGTATGACTTGAAGTTGGAGTACATGATGTAGTGTGTGATAGTGTCCTCAATCTTCTTGTTCCTTTGTTGTTGTCTTGCTGCTGCTATGTCAAAGTGTGGCTGCGTGGTGGCTTCTTGTAGGAACTGTTGAAAGCTCTTGCTGTGGTCGTTCCATGATGTTGTGTGTGTTGTTCTCTTGCCAAGTAGTGATTTGGATTTGTGCTTGTGTAGTCGTGAGTTTGCTTGTCTGATGTGTCCAATGGTAAGGTGTGACTCGTTGATGCCTCCAATGTAGTTTGCTGTGTCCTCATAGCTGTTGTCATTCCAATCCCAGCTGTTGTCATAGTCGTAGTCGTTCCAGTTCTCCTCCATGTAGTTCACCTCGTGTTGTCCTTCTTCTCCTTCGTAGTACCAGTCCCAAGTGTCGTTCACATCCTGAGGTAGTTCTTCATTGTTGTCATGATCTGCTTGTTCTTGTTCTAGTGGGTGTAGTTCTTCTCCTTCTCCTATGTGCCATACTGGCACTGTGCAGTCTTGCGCCCAGTGGCCAGGCTTGCCACATCGATGGCATGTTGTGTAGTTGTTGTTTCCTTTTCCTTTTGATTTGCTGTAGTTTCCTTGGCCTTTGTAGCCTTTGCTTGAACCATATCCTTTGGATCCTGAGTAGCCTTTTCCTTTGCTCTTGTTGTATCCTCCTTTGTTGTAGTTTCCTTTGCTGCCTTTGTCGAATCCTTTGTAGTGGCCTTTGCTTCTGTACTTGCCTTTTCCTTTGTTTCCTTTGTAGGAGCCTTTGCCTCCATATTTGCTTTTGCCTTTGTAGTTTCTTTCTTTCCTCCAAATGTTGTCCACGTCCATTGGCGCTGTTCCACCATTGTAGTTTGTGCCAACTGCTGAGCTCGCTCTTGAGAATGCAGATATGGTCTTGTAGTAGTCCAGGATGACAACTCTGATCTCGTTGTAGTTCGTGATCTGTCCAGCACGTAGTTGGAGATGTTGTTGAAGTGCTCCTTTGGTCTTGTTGAGTAGTATTGCAATCTTCACTCCATCTGGCAATGCTGTGCCGTTGTCTTTCTCGTAGCGGTTGATGTCATATTCCCATTGTAGAAATTGTTCTTCAAATTGCGCTTCATTGAATGTAGGTTCCAGTAGTTTGGTAAGGTAGCCAACGCTTCTTGTTCCTACTGGTAGGCTGAACCTGTTGTGTAGTAGTCGTAGTGTTTCACATCCGTTTGCGTTGTAGCGGTTTTGCCTTACTACTGTAGCTGCTGCTCCCTGACAGATGTTGATGAGGATGTAGTGTAGATCGCGTGAGAGGTCTACTGCTTTTGTTGATTGTGTAGGGTCGCGTATGTGGGCTCTTATGTCTGTGTCCTCAATCTGTCGTGTAGCCACTTGTGCCAGTTGTAGCACCAGGTCGAAGTCTCGGTCTATGAGGCCGAGGTATGCTTGTAGCTTGAACAGCCATTCTTCATACTGGGAGTAGTCACCAGTGAAGAAGGGTGGTGGCAGTTTGTATCTATGTAGTCTCTGAACGTCGTTGTCTTGTTCTGTTCCTGCTCCCGTAGTTGTGGCTCCTACTGTGTCTGCTGTTGTGGGCCCGTCGTCTGCTCCTGTAGTTGGTTGCGCTGATGCTGCTGCTGGTTCATAGTAGTTGGGCACGCGATTGCCTGTGCAGTTGTAGTACTTACTGCTGGTACTGGAGCTCCCCTATGTTTAGGATCTCAGCTCCGCTACCACGTTAAAATCGGTGGTTACTTTGCTTTCAAGTGCAAGTGCTGTAGTGTTCAAACAAATAGTCAACCGATTGTAGTCTGCAGCAATCCACCTTTTACACATGCGATGTAGTGAGCTCAAGGCCTGCAGTACATGAAACACAAATGCAGGAAGTGAAGCATGTAGTTTGACATCTGTCTCACTCACTCCTCCCTCTCTCTCTCTCTCTCTCCCTCTCTCTGCGGAGGAAAAGCGATGAAGTAACACAGAAAAGAATGTACCCAACATCTCTGCATTAGGAAAATCAGTTCCGATTCCACACTGGGATATAAGTCTGATCCCAAGGGCATGTCTCGGCACGACCATGTCCAAAATTCCTACGTGCAGGCTGTGCACTCCGCTTTGTTTTGATACCCCCGGAAAACTGCCAAGGACTGGGAACGCATGCCACAGCTTCACAAGCAGCGCGACACGAGGTTCAAGCGGGTCCTTGGACAGGGCCACGCCACCTCGGTTGGATCTCTGAGAGATGCACATGCGCTCGAAGCAACACCCTACCAGCCGCAACCAAACCAGCTGTCGTGAAATGCTGGGCAAGAGCAGGGCTCAGATGCACCTCTGCGCACCTCAACACTTGCTCATCACTATGGTGTGGGAGACTCGTCACTCTTGACGGCCTGTCAAAGAAATGAGGCTGCTGGCCATGATGCGGCGAACACATTTGCCTTTGCAGCGTCATGTTCACACCCAATGAGCCGTGATGAAGCTGGATCCCTTTTGATGAAATTCGGCTCACCCTGCCCGCTCAGCCAGCGGCTGTTGCCCTCGCTATCCTGCTTCTGGTACACGCAGTTGTAGGAATTGTCATCCGACAGCTGTGAGCGGAAGGTGTACAAAAGCTTGTACCTTTGCTCGTGCCACAAGGGTTGCCTACCTTGTATAGCGCCCGTAAAGCTTTGTTGACGCGTTTGCCAACACATTTGTGCCTGAACATTCTACACCTCCCCGCTTCATTATGCCAACCTGCATGTCCCACGCTCACCACCCGGCAAAGGCCGGTGAATCAAGGTTCTACTGACGAAGTGACAACCTGTACTCCTGCTGATATGTGTCCGCACTTTTGGGCTGACAACAAGATGGCGCTTCTTGACATTCGGGCCATGGGTCAAAATCCAAATCGTACCCCCAGTGAGCATCCCAATCCCCACTAAAATCGGTGGTGAATTCACCTACCAACCAAAATGGGATCCCAAAACGGTTTTGACAACCACAGCCATTTCAAAAAAAACCATGGACGCCATGGCTCGCTCTGGTCTTCTGCCGCGGCACTTGGCCTTCATAGAGTCCAGAACCCGGCTGGAGAGAAGCAGCGCACAGCCACCGCAGCGAAAAAGCGTATTCCTGAACCCAAATCCCATAGGTGGCTGGTGGCTGTGGTTGTCAAAACCGTTTTGGGATCCCATTTTGGTTGGTAGGTGAATTCATCACCCATTTTAGAACCTATTTTAGTGATTTTAGTGGGGATTGGGGCCCGGCCACGAGAGGAACCACTGGGCTTGAGATCTACCGGTTTTGTATTGTTGCGTAAACCCACTCCCCCAGACGCTTATGGAAACTCTGCTGCCCTGAAGGAGCCACCGTGCCTTCAACTGATGCCTCATTGTGCCTACATTTGACCTGAAGATGACAAGAGGAAGCACCTAGAAGACGGCAAAGTTGGCCCTCCGCTCTGCATTCCCACAATACGGGAATGCAAAAAGCGCGTGATGCAGGCGGGGTACACTCAAAGCACTGACAATATGCGTGCGTGTGCGCGGAGGAAATTTACATATCTGGCGTTGATCGGTAAAGGGCCAACTTTTGACAGGACCCCCCACTTCTACGGGTAGGGGGGAATCAATGAATCTAACATGGGGCTCGCAGTGGTAGGAAACCATTCTACCGCTGATAGTCATGAGTCATGAGTATTGGCACCTGCTGCCCTGCCCCAATGCACGGCTTACAAGCGCATGCCAGGTGTCTGCAGCAGCATCGACTTGTCGTTGCCCTTGTACAGGTTTTGTGTGATGTTCCTCCGCCCGAAATCGATCAGAAAAAGGTCGGCCAGCCAACATCGCTCGAGTCCGACTCGTCCGGCCAAGGGGCTCCATGGATATCACCAGAGCCCGTGATCCCGGGCGGTTCTCCAGCAGCTGCTTGGCAAGATCTACTGAGATCACCTCAGCGAGTGACTCAGGCTGTCAGGCCCCCCTGAAGCACGAAACCAGCCAACGGCTGCGGTGTCGCATGCGTTAGCCTTGCCCCCTTAAGGCGCCAGCGTTTGCGGAGCAGCCCATGCCCCCCAAGTTGTAGGATCGCACATCCTGGCCACGGATTGCCAAATGGAAGAGTGGCCAACCCTTGTCAAGGCCAAGCTGGCATTGGCAGAAAGCTTCAGCAATATGGCCATGGGTCCCCAGTGGACATCCCAATCCCCACTAAAATAGACTAAAATGGGTGATGCACCTACCCCAAAATGGTACCATTGGTTTTGACCCACAGCCATATAGAAGGAAGACGGAAGGCCAAATGAAATAAAAACAAAACGTTCTGCTCAACAACGCGAACTGGCAATAGCTAAGCCCAGGATGCCCAACAGCGGAGCCCCGTCGAGCCCTCCGGAACCCGCAAAAAAGCTGCAAACGATTCGGGCAGAGACTCCATAGCTTTGAGCTGGGGAAAAAGTGAAGTGCGGCCTTGAACCATTTCCACACACACTTGAGGCGTTTCCTTCGCCTTTTTCTTTTTTTGGGGGGGTTGGCTTGCATCATATTAGGTGTGACATGTGGATCCCTCCAGGCATCTAGTGATTGGACAATCCCTCCTGGCGCAGCCCGAACTCGTTGCACACCATCGCGCAGAGCGAGGGTGTGGGGCAAAACCTTGGCCAGGGCTTCCAATTTTCACCTGTAAAATGGGCCGGGGTGATCTTTGAAACCACCTGAAGCCTTCGGCTCGACCCGAACCACTGCGACACTGGACCCCTCAACACTGGAAACGAATCACAAGTTCGCCAGGTAGCAGGGAGCAATTCACAATGAGGAAATCAATCTGCTGAGGCTTCACCTCACGGCCGAGACTACGCACCGCCTGTCCCCATCAAATCGCCTTATGGCAAGCAGGCTGAAAAGCACCAAAGCTGTGAAAACTTGGCCGACTCAACGCAACATTCTGGCGTGACCAACCCAGCTCTCAGACCGCAGAGATTCTTAGGCCCAACTTGTCGCTTCCAAACTGTCAGCGCCAAAATCCAACCGTCTGCCTTGCTGCGCTTCAGCAGGTCTCGCACCAGCGAAAACATCACCTTGGCATCTGTGAGTTGGTGGCAGGTGATGCCATCTGACTTGGAGCCGAATCTGAAGCGACATTCACAACCACTCGCCCACATCACCGCTGCAAACAACCGAATCAGCTATCTGCGTGTCAGCACCGAGACCTCTGACTACCCAACACCCTCGCTGTTGCCGCGCACCTCCTGCGCCTCGTTCCGCGCAGCCGCCATATTGCACACAGCCTCGCACGGCTCTTGGCTTGATAAGCACTGCGCATCCTTGCGCAGCAGGGCTGTGTTTCAGATTGGCAAATGTCTCGGACCCCATTGCCATTGTCGTGCCTCGGTGTTGCCATCTCTGGAGCCGAGAATGCCTGGCCCACAGGCAGGCAATAGTCAAGGACTGCCTGCCAAAACGCTTTCGTGAGGAAGCCACAAACTTCGCTTTTCAACGATGCCCGTCCCAGTGTCCATGGATCTGACCCTGAAATATCAAGGAGGATACTCCCACTTCCGATTGAAAGCCAAGTCTTAGGGTCATGGGATCCAGCCTAAGGTCTAAGGGGCTGAGCAAACTGCTTGCCCCGCCTGGCGGCCAATGCGTGGACGGGCCAGTGCCCGAATTATCCAGGATCCGCTGCTGGAAGTCAATGGAGGCTTCCTTGGACTGCTCAATCTTCCCTCCCTCTCCCGCACCACCCCCCCCCCCCGCGCATGCGGTTAATCCGAAATTCGCTTTTAATCCGCGTTTTAGCTGGTAACCCCCCTAATCCGTAATCCTTGCGGTTTATCGCCATTTGAAGTGGGCCTGACAAAGCCTCATACCAGTAGCAGGCATCCACGACTCCATCCTGGAAGAGTGACCCCACTGGGGCCCTTTCACATGCCCCAGTGTCATTTTGGGGCTGCCAAGCGTGTTGTTCTAGTGAAACACCCCTTAAAAAGCTGAAAAGCAGTTCCCTCACAATGTAGTTGGGTGTCCTACACCTAAACGGTCTAATCCGTAAACCGCACAATCCGTAATCCGCTAATCATTGGGGATTAGGCTTGGGACAGGTTAGAATAATGGACTAGGTAACCGTGGGTAACTTTTCCCACTGAGTGGGGAAATACCCCGGAAGGCCCAAAAAGGCGGTTCCTCGTCTTGGCATGGCAAAAATTGATGCCAACTGCTCGCACATAGTAAACCACTGCCTGCGGACTCTAAGGCCGAAGTACCCACTCCAAAGCCCAAGTAATCATTGTATGTTGCGTCAACCTCTGGACCATCCATCAAGCGCACATCCAAAACTGCCAGTCTGCGCTCCCCAAGTCGGCGGACCCAACCCTGCCTAGCCCAAGGTTTTGGCAGTTGTCTCATGGCTTTCAGCGGCCAAGTCTCGTTAAAACAATGCTGCGCCTCCAGCATTTTCACGATCTGCTTCTGCGACACCTTGCATGACAAATGGGTTTCTGTTGAGGATAATCAGTTTAAAACCACGATTTGCGGGGGGCCTGCTATTTCTTACTCCTTAAAACTCCAAGCCCTGGGGAAGTTAATCTTTTACAGACATATAGCCCATGTTGCCCAAAAAGTTGAAAAGTTGTGTTTTTAAGAGGTAAGATTTTGACGCATACCCACACTGCTGAGCGAACCGGCCTCAAAAAAGCGCAGTGTGCGCTCCCTGCCTCCCAATCTTGTGGCGGCTTGTACACTAAGTTCTCCAAACCTCGCGAGGCTTGCCACGCTTTCAGGACGAGCGCTGACTCCGATTGACTTCTTCTCTTTAAGATGGAGGTCCTTTGGCATCAAAAAAATGGGGACCAACCCTCTCCCACAACCCAGCAATGCACCTGATATCCCTATGTGAGAGTCAATCACAGTTGTCAAATCGGCGTACGTCTCTTCCAACTGAGGTACCTGCCCACCCGGTAACCCCTCATCAAGAAGAATGGACTATCATGGCCAACCTTCGCTCCGTTCCTTCACTCGGTTCCATTTATCGCATAGCTACAAAGCAACCCTTCCAGGCTTGAGCCATCAGAATCCATCAACGGTATTGCACCCTTCCTGCATCCTCAAGCAAGACCTCACTAGAGGTCTTGCGCGAGCGCGAGCTTGAACGAGACTGCCGGGCGCGCTAGTGGCTAAGAGCACCCCAAGGCCAAGCCGCAATACACAGAAGGCTTGTGCTGGCTCATGTAGGCCAAGATCAGGGCGGCAGCCCCGATGACCTCACAAAAAACTTGTGCGAGCGTGTGTTGCATCTGGGTACGTAAATCAAACTGCACAATCAAACTGCATAATGAACGGCATAAAGTGGATACACCTATGAGTACAAATGTGCTTTCATTCCTGCATATCATGCATGAAGGCTTCGCTTGACACACGTTCGATCCGGGATTCTTGGCTTTGCTTGTGGCAGCGGACACTCCGGACCTCATGACCTCTGAGAGGCCAGTTGGGTGAACGGATGGCCAGTTGGGTGAACGGAATGCCAAACTATTCAGCAAAGCCGTGATCGCCGAACCCGTTCGCCCAAGGTAGGACCACACGCCTCTCTTGACCCGAAGGATTGCACTTGGGGAACTCAGTGACAGTATCAATATCCAGACAGGTCGCTTGCATCACCAGCGGCTCCTGCAACAAATGCCAGGCACGCCGGAAGTCTTCCAAGCGCCACATGTACAGCTGGGAGACCATGAGGCAGCTGACCTGGCGACGCAAGGAAGCATTGCCTGACTTCGCCGAGAGATGCCGCATCGCAATTCATCCCCCGCCGAATCTGGGCAGAAGTTTGGCCAAGAAGCAGTAGCGATGGCGAGGCCATACGCCATGGGCAAGTACTCTGCCAGGAAGACATACGACCAGTTGATGGTCCTGAAGCCAAGTAGCGTCCATGTCCCGCCCGTGAGGCGAATTTGACGAATCCGGCTGGAAAATCTGCGGCAGTTGTCTTAAAGAAGCAAGTCTGGCGGCCGTTTGTTTAGTTGACAGGGGCATAGTCATTCGCTCCTTACATCCCAACTGTTTGCGTGAGGGAAGGGTCGGAAAAAAGATTGCGTTTGGGCCCAACGCGTCCTGATTCGGAGGGACTTGGGCTCCCAGTAGTAGACCTTAGGACAAGTGGCCTTGGGCCAAGCTGCTCGGCGCAGACAGCAAGTGCCATCAAGCCACATCCTTGTCCACACGGCCGAGGTTGCTGCCGGAGCTGATGGTTCGCCTTAATAACTTAACTTCGGGTCGAGTTCGGATCGCATGCAAGCGCGATCCAATGGCCAAGTGGCTTGACTTGCTCAAACTCTTGCAAGTCCATGGCGAGCTTGCCTGGCGTACGGCAATGCGGCAAGCGTTGAACTGTGCTGGCATTCCTTCAGATCACCGGCCCAATTTCAGATCAAACCTCTATGCAGTAACTAGGGCCCAATCGGCACGGACTTCCCACAACTTCGGCCCAAAACCCCACAGAGCTTCCTAATTTCGAGCAGCGGAATCTGCGGTCTTGGGCCTAACGAAGGTAAAGCCTACTTGGCAAGCCGGGCGACACCTGCGACGTCTCAAACATTACGCACGCCCCCGTCGCGCCTCCCAGCAGCCGCTGTATGACTGTCGTCTCCATACCCCTGCCGGCTCAGGGGGGGTGCAAAGCAAAAGCGGTCATTCCAAAGGCGCGGGGCAACCAGGCAAATTGCAGAAAAACCCGCAGGCGAAATAAGAGACCCCTGAGAAGGATTCTTCATCTGAGGCTTTCCGTGTCTTACCCAGGTCGGCGCGATCAGGAGCTGCAGTCAAGACAGGGGGAAGGCAACCGACCACAGGCAGCGGGAATTTCTAAACAAATAGAAGTTGATGCAGCAAGCAGCTTGTTGAGTCGCAAGCAGCTTGTTGAGTCGCAAGCAGCTTGTTGAGTCGCAAGCAGCTTGTTGAGTCGCAAGCAGCTCGTGAAACATGTGGACACTCACCAAATCATGCCATGAGGAAAATACCACGTCACAAAGGTGGAAGAAATAGTGGGAGCAGAGGAAATGAAGGTGGGTAAAATACTTCTGCAATTCAATCGGGATGCCTTGCACCCAGAAACCAAGCATGCACGTGTGGACTCAGATTCCTGCAGGAAGACACTTTACCTCCCTCCCGCCTGGGTGGCGCGCGGGCCCACAGGAAAGAGCAGCAACAAGTCTCAGCAAACTGGCTTGGAACCCGCTTGAGGCCCTGCTGAGGTGAAGTGCGGTGCTGGGACCCTGGGAGGCCGCTCCCTTGGCTTTGGCTACAGCGCTTCATGACTCAGACATCTGCGTTTGGCGTTCCCAGAAAACTGCGGGCATTGCAAACTGAGCCACTCATAGCGGACGCAACACTTCGGCAGGCGTCCCACACGGATTGACCCAAGGCCAAACCACGCGGTTTGGCCGGACCGCAAATGATATGGCGCCTGATCTCTGCCAGGTCCCGCTCGCTGAGACCTCAGCCGGTCTCAACGGCCTCCGAGCCCGGAGTGAATAGGCGGTCTGGTGTGGTCGAAATGGGGAACAGCTAAAATCCGGCGGCCCGGGTCTCCCCAAAAGGCCTTGGGCAAAGTATAATGACCAAGAAGGGACCCCCAAGAAAGGAAGTTTCACTTGTCGCGACCCCGTGACGTCGCACCAAGGGAGACCATTCGTTCGCCTGAGGCAAATGGCGTCCCAGCGCGCGGGGCACGGAGTTCCCCAAAGAGCCCAGGGACTGTGCGCCTGAGCGGGGCGCCTTGGCTCGGATTCAGTAGCCATTGGCTACCCTCCTGGCTCTTCCCCACCCAAAATAACCTCGCCTTTGGCCAGCATGGTGCTGGAGCTTCGTGCCCTGTTCGCCAGCTCCTGACATGAGTCCGACCTCTTATTGCAGCGGCTTCGACCCGCCGAAGGCTCGCAACCTTACCCGAAACACGTCACAGCCACGCGTGGCAAACCCGATGCGCGCAAGCGTTGACAATTTCCTTGCCTACCAGTAGCGTAAACCCTGCTGACACTGCACGCCTCAAACATCGCCGACCAGACAAGGCGAAGCAACGCGCTCCTGCGGCCGCATCTTCCCCAGCGCCGAACACACCGCCGCTTTCGGCCCATCCCACGAAGGCGCGCCCGAAGCCGCCGAGGCGCCAAAGGCCCAGCCTGGACCGGGGGATGGAGCCCGGTCTAAGAGGTTCCCCGAAAACGACTTCCTCGGGGAGCATGTTCCCTTGGAACCCACCTGGGAATGCATAAAAAACCCCACCCTTTCCCTTCCACTTCTTCGACGTTTTCGTTTTTTCGCCCCCATCGTTTTACTACAACGTTTTCTTCAAGTTGGCAAGCCAAGCTCGAGAAACCAAACTTTTAAGTACAAGCGCGGTGAGCGACGTACGCTTCCGCAACTCCAGCTGCAAAATCGCAACTTTGTAATACAAGTGTAGTAAACAAAGTACACTTCCGCAGCTCCAGCTGGTGTAGCTCGCGGGGAAGTACACTCCCGCAGCTCCAGATCAAAAACCTCAACTTTGTAGTACAAGTGTAGTACGTGAAGTACATTTCTGCACGGAAATCGCAACCGTGTTGCAGTGTAGTAAGCGAAATACACTTCCGCTGCTCCAGCTCGAATTCGCAGCTGTCCAGTATAAGTGTAGTAAACAAAGTGCACTTCCGCAGCTCCAGCTACTGCAGCAAACAAAGCACACTTCCGCAGCTCCCGCTTCAGCAAAACAAAGTACACTTGGCAAGTCTAGTTCTATAAAACGGTATCCCTTTTTTCCCTCATCGTCCTCTCCGCAAAAAGTCCCACCCAGACTAAACTGCAACTGGGGAAGCCATCGCTTTTTGCCGGAATCTCATCGGGTGGGGGTCGTTTGGCTTGATGAGACAACTTCAAAGGATCCCAAAAGCGTGATTTGAAAAACACGAGCCCACTAGCTTCAGCGCCCAGACATGCGAAGTGGGAATCCGCTGCCCCGTTCTCTCTCTCTCTCTCTCTCTGCCGCTGCGTCCAGAGGGTCTTGACTCAGCAAGGCAACGAAAAAGATGCCCACTGATATTCAGGGGCACCAACATACTAGGACAACCTGGGCAGACATCAAGTAGGAAGGATTCCACGGCCCATACTGATTGCCCGTATTCAAGAGCCTGCATTCCATCGGCTTGCCATTTTAGCTTAAGGCTCAACGGCCCCACTGCCACCAGCCACTCCTCTGGGAGGTCCTTCTGCACGTTTCAATCACGTATCCCATTTGGCCCATCATCCATCTGTCACTACGAGCTGGAAAAAAAAAGAAAAAAAACAATCAAGCCCTGTGAACGTCCCAACTCCTGGCCTCTGTTTGCAAGCCCCTGCGCCGTGAGGTCCGGGGCCAGCTGCACAGCGCGGGCACCCGCCTGGCAATGCGCTCGCCCTGGCCACTCTCAGCCCCACAATTGCATCACGCCATTCCTCAATTTGAGAACCTGGTGCATCATTAATCAGCTCACCAAAACGCCCGGGTTCTTCACCCACCTCCTCCAAAGGAGGCTGGCCCCGGCACTGCGTTGTGGCAGCGCCCCGCACCAGGTTGGCCAGATCCTGACGCCAAGACAATCCTGGAACACCCTCCGCGCAAGACAAGAAACCTGGTTCCAGCCTGCTCTGTAAAGCGTTCCGTCATACCCCTGGCAGCCTCAGCTAGCAGGCAGCTAGCAGCTAGGCCGCAGATCGGTAACTGTTGCCGGAGATCTTTTCAGCTGGGAACTTACTCCTCTGTCTGACACGATCAAACATGCAACCCAAAACAAGGAGAGACCTTTTGCAATCTTGTGGACATGCGATCGGCTGCGCACCATCTCAACGCAACGACAATGACCAACTCAACGTGTACGACGCGCTGAGGCCATGGCTTTGGCCAAGGTGCCGAAGGCCGGCTCAAGGCCACGGCGCCTTGGCCAGCGAATGGAAACCTGCCTCTACTTGGCTGTGGGTCCAAACCGATGGTACCATTTTGGGGTAGGTGCACCACCCATTTTAGCGGGGATTGGGATGCTCACTGGTGGGGGAACGGGATTTTGACCCATGGCCACTTGGGCTTCATGGGGAAAAACTCAGGCCATGCGCCCCAAACCAACGCAAGACCTGGACAAATACCGCGCTCGCAGCAACTTTGCGGCGCCCCTGCCGCGAACTCTTGCAGCTTCAGCTCGCCGAACCGCCAAGCCCGCCGCAGCTTGGCCGCTGCCCGTGCTGTGCTCGCAGTGCCCCGCTGGTCAAAGGTAAAAGCCGCCTGACGGCGCTTGTTCCCAGGCGAGTGCAGCACCTCTTCTTACTCGTATTGTCCGGTTGACTGACTGGGAACTGCAAGTGATGCGCTCTCACTGCAACGGGTGCCCAGCAGCCATGCGCCTGATCCGCTGCTTGGACCAAAGCCTCGCGCAGGATGCCGCGACGTGTTGTGAAGAAGGAGGGCCCTGAATCTCTGCTGCCAAATTTGATGAGTCTGCAAAGTAGTACAGGTAATTTAGCTGTCACACTTGTGAGCTGGCATTTCAACGGGCCAAAGAAAGCTGCATCTGGTCAAGCTGGTGACTTCCTATGCGCTTGGCAGGTGTTTTGTTCCAGTTTCTTCGGACCTTCCATTTTCGGAGGCTGGACTCTCCGCCTAGAAGCTTCTGCTTGCGGTCACGCCGGAGCCCTCGGAATACACGAGGGCAACGGGTTGCGAGCGCCAAGCCCCGGGGCCGGGGCCGGTAGTCGCGCCAGCTTGCCGAAGGCGGTGCTGATGTTCACCGTGTTGAACTCGCTGCCCGCCCTGGCGAGGTATCGGTGCTCTCGCTCTGTCTCACTCTCGTTTCCTTCCAGCCCTTCCTTCCCTTCCTTCCTTCCTTCGGATTCCTTCGCCCCTCCCTCCCTCCCTTGGATGTTTTTTTCTTTTTCATTTAGGTTATGTATTTCATTATTTATTTCATTATTTCTTTCTTTCTTTCTGTCTTTCTTTCTTTCTTTCTTTCTTTCTTTCTGTCTGTCTGTCTGTCTGTCTGTCTTTCTTTCTTTCTGTCTGTCTGTCTGTCTGTCTGTCTTTCTCTCTCTTTCTTTCTTTCTTTCTTTCTGTCTGTCTGTCTGTCTTTCTTTCTTTCTGTCTGTCTTTCTTTCTGTCTGTCTGTCTGTCTGTCTTTCTTTCTTTCTTCCTTTCTTTCTTTCTTTCTTTCTTTCTTTCTTTCTTTCTGTCTGTCTGTCTGTCTGTCTGTCTGTCTCTCTCTCTCTCTCTCTCTCTTTCTTTCTTTCTTTCTGTCTGTCTGTCTTTCTTTCTGTCTGTCTGTCTTTCTTTCTGTCTGTCTGTCTGTCTTT